TGAGGGATCCAGTTTTGGCACCTTCGTCCGCCCCGGTCGCGTCTGCTTCTGGGCGTAAGCTGGTGTACCTAAACGCCACAGTCGTCAGGCGCCAGACGAGTCTTCTCAGCGGGGCCGACGCGAAGGCAATTTCTTCCCTACTAGGCGGGAATGTTGTCTTTAACACGGACCGGGCGCTCGGGAACATTATCGACAGGACTACCGGGCAGTGGCTCAGGCTTCATTACGACTCCCTTAGGGCGCCCCTCACTTTCCCGTTCAGCCCCTTCCTGCTCACGTTCCTCGAGCACTTCGGTGTCCTTCCCGGCCAGGTCACCCCGAACGCTCATCGCATCGTCGCCTGCTTCCCTCAAGTCTGCGCCAGCACGGTCTTGAATGCACAACGGAGCTGTTCGACTTCGTTTACTCCGTCCGAGCGTTGGCCCCCCCGGTACGGGTCCAGTTTCCTCTAGGCTCAGTCGCACGGGCATATATGCAACATACTCCACCTCCCGGATAACAACCGCGGCTGGAAAAGAGGTTGTTCTCCGTCAAATACACCTGGGACCTGCCGGTTCCGTGGGAATGGGCCAGCCATTATTTAGAGCAAGTTACCCCGGATGAAACTCCCGAGCTCGCGGACGCCGTGACGAAGATTTCCATCGTATATGATGACCGGGATCCTCTCTAATCTAGTAAGTAGCCTAATCCAAAAGCCCCTCTCTCCAGCATTTAATGCGGTATTTATAAGAGACATAGAGAACAGCACCCGGCCTTCCGACATGACGGGCACGTGGCGCCCATGCATCGGGTCTAGCCGAGGCGAACATGCAGTCGCACACGTGGCGCATGTCCTCTGCCAGCAAGGGGACCCAGCCCCGCCCGGCCGTTCCTCCCGGTCACCGACCAAAGAGGCGCAGGGCCCACTGAACGTCCCAGTTCCATAAGGCGACCTGGTGACCGGGAGGGCCGGCCAAAAAGGGGCTGACCGAACAACTTCACATGGAGCTTTTAAGCGGGTCAGGTGACCGGACAAGATGACCCGATCCGACCAGGGTATAATCCCCATTAACCATTAACCACGTTTGTGTAACGACAAACGTGTAATTTGTTCGTCCCTGCTCTCTTATTAATGAAAGCATACAATACATTCGATTGTGTTTTGTATGAATAAAATATGTAATAATCTTCACTCCGTTCGTTAGCTGAACTTCGTTTGAACTGTATGATGCCCACATTTCCATCTCTCACAACGTATTGTATAAAAACAAAATCGTACTACTTTGGTAATTAAAATATCTTTGGACTGATGTTAAATTTCTTATTTGTGATGGCTGTATGTATTTATACTAGTGATTCCATACTGAAGAATAGAATAGTTATTGTCTGACATATAGCATGAATAATCAAAAAAATATATTGTAATTATGTTTTTGAACGAATAGTCATTCCATACTGCACGGAATAGTCATTCTATACTGATGGACTTGATGGACAATAGCAATAGCATCAAGGAATATATTCGCTGATTGGAAATGTATAAATCGGACCATTGTGGTCCGACTTATATAAATATATTTTTCTCACTCTATAATTCGGACCACAATGGCCCGACTTTCTCAAAAATCTGGCATTGGAAATGTAGAAGTCGGATCACGATCACAATAGTCCGACTTATATAATTGGAAATGTATAAGTCGGACCATTGTGGTCCGACTTATATATATAATTTTTTTTTCATACTATAATTCGGATCATTTCAACAAGCAATGTCAGCGAATATATTCTTTCCAAATTCAACAAGCAATGTCAACGAATATATTCTTTCCAAGTTCAACAAGCAATGTCAGCGAAATATTCGTTCCAAAATTCAACAAGCAATGTCAGCGAATATATTCTGTACTAATATCTTTTCCTACTGATTTATAGGCTTATTTATAACCTGCTCTACATTACCGCTATGTGCTCAGATTGAAGATCAATTGCTCAGATACGAAGCTTGCAGTTCCCACGAAACAACTTCAAAGCATTCATCATCTTGTTCAGAACAATTTCTATGGTACGTTATAATTTTTTTATATTTATTTTCATTAAGTTCCGTCTTTAACCAAATATATGTTTAATACTAGGGTAAAACATATGTTGTGTTTGTTGGTCTCGATACTTAGTCTCCGTGATTTCATATTTTCTTCTCCAGGATCCAATATTTCTTGTACGTATTTCTCGTACCCACCAATCTTAGATTTTTCATTCCCGTTTATGATTCTCCCAATTCAAGGTCATGACACGTCGCCGTCTCCCACTCCAGACACCCAGTCGCCGGTCGCCCCTCTCGGACTCTCGGTCGGTCGTCGCCACCGACACCACACGGCCACACCAGTCGCCGACTCGCACCTGTCCGTCTTCAACCGTCCGTCGGCCGTCGCCTAGTGGCCTTCAGCCATCCGTCTTCAACCTTCGGCCTTCTCCACTCGCCACACCAGGTTCATAGTATTCCTTAATTTTTTTGCCCTAATTTTCCAATTCAGGATTTGCGAATTTTGCCCTAATTTCCCTAGTTTTGTATTTGCCCTAATTTTCCTAAATCTTAGATATTAGATCTTAGACTCTTAGTTGTGCACTTTTTTTTTTTTTTTTTTTTTTTAAATTTCCAGAATGTTTGCTTAATTGCCTATGATTATTTGTTTACTGCAAAATGCTATTTCCAGAAACTATGCTTGATAAGTTAAAAAATATTCATCTAAAAATCACCAGGACGGAGCCAGGATTTTCTTTGAGTGGGGGCAAAAAGTAAACACACAGCATTTTGTAGTCCATTTCAATTTTCAAGTAAACTGAACATCGAGCATTTTTCAAATTTTACAAGACATTTCAAGGATACAATGCATCTGTGTAGTCTGTAGAGCATTCAAACAATAAAATTCAATATATAAAAACAATAATATATAAATATATTGAGAATAATTAGGCAAGCTATGAATTAGGCATAGGCAAAACTATTGAGAATAATATATAAAAAACAATAATATACAAGTTAAAAATCAATTTCATGAACAACAGACCAAGTAATTCCTCTTCTGGCCCTACCTCTAGATCTTCGAACTTCAATACTTGAGACAGTGAGACTAGCAGCTTCAATTCCCAAAATTTTGAATAAGTATTCAATTAGGCGATTAGCATATACAAATCTACAAAAGCATTAAGCATATATGTAATCACTAATTGGGATTAATAAATTAATTCCAAAAGTGCAAAACATAATAGCCATTAGGGCAAACTGCAAACTAATTAAGAGAATAATTATGTGATTATGTATTCAATTAGGCGATTAGCAGAATAGCAGTCTAGCGTATACAAATCTGCAAAAGCATTAAGCATATATGTAATCACTAATTGAGATTAATAAATTAATTGCAAAAGTGCAAAACAGAATAGCCATTAGCCCATTAGGGCAAACTGCAAACTAATTAAGAGAATAATTATGCTATTAGGGATTTATCAAATATGAAATATCAATCATCATTTTTATGAAATTAGCCATTAGGGCAAACTAATTAAGAGAATAAATTGAAGAGTAATGAAGATTGGTTGAGGTTTTAACCTGAGGGCTGAAGCTATAAATCTATAATGGACTAATGGTGGTCCGGTGGGTGACTGGGCGGTGGACGAATGGTGAACGGACGGTCCGGAGTCCGGATGAAGCCACGGTCCACGGAGGAGAAATGGAAAATAGCCGGTGGAGCTATGGAGGCAGGAACTCAGGAGCTGCGGTCTGTGAACTGAGGAGTCGAGGCAGAGAGCCAGAGACAAAGCCGTCTGGTGAGGAAGAACCGAAGAAACAACAAATGAAAAAAAAAAAAACTTTCATATATACACAGCCCCAAAACGACGTCGTTTTGGGGCTGTGTAATTTTGGGCAGTGGGGGTAGCTGCCCCATGGCAGCTCCGTCCCTGACTATGAAGCTGGAAAAATGGTTGCTTTTGAGCAAGCAATTCCAAATTTGAAAGAGGTTTACACTTTTGATGGATATAAAATGTAAGTTGACTTATAATAGTAGTTTGTGTGATTTATCTATCAAAAATAAATTTGTGATATGAGTTGATGCACATTAACAGCCTTTAGTATTTCGGATTATAAACTTAACGCTGAGGTAACATAATGTTGAAAGATGTTAGTGTATTCAATTTTCACCTGGGTATGTCCTTCAAACATAGGAACTAGAGCTTCCCTTACTTATTTGAGAACGTTCGTGCCCCTTGCGAAATGGTTTGCTCACTCCTTGTATAGGACCAAAGGAACAAAAGAAAGATAAGAAGAACTAGTATTGGGTGGGGATGGCACTCAATTCCTCCTTTTGAGTAGTTTCATTAGGAACGGAACTAGTAATAAAAGAAGAAGATTTTGTAGTCAGAACATATTTGGGGGAAAGACTATCACTGACCGAGCTTCTCAACACTGACCTTTCTTCTGGTCTCACGAATTGGATTTTGAACCAATATCTCCCTATCTTGGGAATCTTGACACCGTACTAAGAAATATTTTGTATATTGTAATATATTGTAATTTACTAATTTTCTATATTATTAATTTATTATATGAAATATTTTGTATATTACTCTGTAGGAATAATTTATGTATTCCGTATATCAGTTTAGAAATCTTTGAGGTTTTGTTTTTGTTTTTGTTTGTTTGTTTGTTTGTTTTTTTTTTTTTTTTTTTTTTTAAAATTTAAAATAGCTCTATACCTGTATATCCTTTGGTAAATTTTCTGCATAATTGTACTATCAATAAAACTGGGGAAAGAACAAGAATATGAGGAGATGTGTGTAATTTTTTATATTTTATTTTATTTTTTCATAATAATAATAATAATAATAATAATAATTAATTAATTAATTAATTTGTATGAAATTTTCTCAGTAGATTTGTCAAAATTAATTTGACTCTTTGCATTTCGTTTTTCTCTTCATTTCTGTTTGGGTATTTGAATAATTGAATTCTTGGTTAAAAATTGATTCTTGAAGACTGACTTCTAATTCAGGGTATTTTGTTCCCTTAAAGAATTTCAAGGATATTGCTTTGCCATTGCTTAATTACTTTTTCAATTGCCAGCAAGAATTGACAGCAAGATCTGATAGAATTTGTTATGATACTAGAATATGGACATAGCTAATTCTTCTTTGGTTTTTCTTCCCCCTTGTGTGATAATCACATGTCATTATCTATGCAAATTAACCATTGTTTGATGATAAATTTGCTTGGTTTTGCTTCAAATATGGACTTGAAAATCTACTTTTATTTTATAATAATGTATAAAAATATGTTTTGTGATTAATTTATATGACATATATTTTCTAATTCAGCTATGGAGAAATATTCTAAAATAATGCCTACTTTTGAGGATTCATCTATTCAAGGTAGTCAGAATATGAGAGAGCATAGAGAAGTACCATGTTTTAAATTTTGACATGGTCGTTTTTTAATTGCTTGAACTTTGCCCCTACTCATCTTTATCCCTAGCTCTGCCCATGTATGTATACACACACAAGCACACACATACATTAATGCTTTTGAAAAAAAGAGGGGTTGATTAAGGCTGCTGTTCCCTTTTTCACAGAATAGTTGAGGAAAATGGAGGAGCATTATATAGAAGACTGCAAAGCTTTGTTATCTCAAACGAAGCAGCAAGAGAAGGATCTTAGGCTCAAAAGAAGGTTAGTGGTATATTTATAGCTGCAATTTCATTAATATTTGTGTGATGACAATCTTAAAAGATTTTTATCCTTATTTTTCAGGTGGTTGATGGGTGTAAATTTATCACGATGGGAGCAGGATTGCATGGAGTCTCTTAAGCCACCCAATGACAAGTATGTGAGATTCTTATTATTATTTGTGTTTGTTATCTTTCTTGTTTTTTGCTTTTGAATTTCATTCTTAAATCTTGAAGTTCTCTCTATGCTCTCTAATTCAATGCCTGCAACTTTTTCCATTGGTTTTGATTTTATTTTGAATTGACACCCTCCTTTCACAGCCATTTTTCTCCATTAATGCTTTAAACCTTAATCAAGAAGGTTTTGGTGCTTGGCTTCTATATATTGATTAAATGGCTAGTACAATTTATCAAAAGAAGAATAAAAGAACAATAGTGCTTGTTAAAGCAGTGAGTTACCTCTGTAGCTCTCTCTTATTCTGTGTGTCTATAGAGCTAGTCAACTACTCCTTAAATATAAGAAGAGTGATATGGTAAGCAAATATTTAGATCCCTAAAATATGGGATAGTCAATCACAGAGAATATTCTCCCAATATTCTATAACACTCCCCCTCAAGTTGGAGCAAAGATATTGATCATGCCCAACTTGTTACACAAATAACTAACTCGGGTTCCAGTAAGGGCCTTCGTGAATAAGTCCCCAAGTTGTTCTCCTGTCTTCACAAATCCTGTGGAGATTAACCCTTGTTGTATCTTTTCACGTACAAAGTGACAGTCAATTTCTATGTGCTTAGTTCGTTCATGGAACACCGGGTTTGATGCAATATGAAGAGCAGCTTGGTTATCACACCATAGCTTTGCAGGAATTGGAGCTTTGAAACCAGACTCATACAAAAGGTTGTGTATCCACATCACTTCACTTGTTGATTGTGCCATCGCTCTATATTCAGACTCTGCACTCGAACGAGATACTACACTCTGCTTCTTACTTTTCCAGGAAACCAGATTACCTCCAAAGAAAACACAATATCCAGTGGTTGATCTACGATCCTCTTTGGAACCTGCCCAATCTGCATCAGTAAAACACTCAATCCGAGTGTGACCATGATTCTTATACAAGATTTCGTGTCCCGGGGCTTCCTTTAAGTAACTCAAGATGTGCTCCACAGCTGCCCAGTGATCAATAGTCGGAGATGACATGTACTGACTCAAAACGCTAACCGGGTATGCAATATCTGGACGGGTTACGGTCAAGTAATTTAGCTTCCCAACCAATCTCCTATACCTCTCAGGATCTTCAAACAATTCCCCCTCCTTTGTCAATTGCAAGTTCGGTATCATGGGAGTATTGCATGGTTTAGTCCCTATTTTTCCTGTTTCAGAGAGTAAGTCAATAACATATTTTCGTTGAGATAGTAATATGCCTGTTTTGCTCCTCATAACTTCGATACCCAGGAAATACTTCAGTGGTCCCAAATCTTTTGTTTGGAATTGACTATGAAGAAATGACTTGAGAGACAAAATCCCTTCAGTGTCGTTCCCTGTAATGACAATGTCATCTACATAAACCACCAACCAGATGATACCTGTTTTGGACCACTTGTAGAACATGGAATGATCCGATTTGCCTTTCAACATCCCAAAATTCTCAACAACCTGACTAAACTTGCCAAACCATGCACGTGGACTTTGTTTCAGCCCATACAACGATCGCCGAAGACGACATACTTTCCCAGACTCCCCCTGAGCAACAAACCCAGGAGGTTGCTCCATGTACACCTCTTCATGAAGATCCCCATGCAAAAATGCGTTCTTGATATCAAGCTGATGCAAAGGCCAATCATGAATGGCAGCCATTGAGATGAGTAACCTAACAGAAGTAAGCTTAGCCACAGGTGAAAAGGTGTCAGAATAATCAACTCCATAAGTTTGGGCATATCCTTTAGCCACAAGACGGGCTTTCAATCGAGCCACAGACCCATCAGAATTGACTTTGACAGTAAACACCCATTTACAACCAATAGGTCTTTTACCTGCAGGCATAGTGACCAACTCCCAAGTACCGTTGTGATCCAAAGCGTTCATCTCCTCAAGCATGGCATTTCGCCACCCAGGATGGGACAAGGCGTCCCTAACAGTCTTAGGAATGGATATAGAATCAAGGGAAGCAATGAAAGAACACGAGACAGGTGACAGCCTATCATATGATGCAACAGAGGATATAGGATAAGTACAACTACGTTTACCTTTCCGGGTAGCAATCGGACGTTCATCAACCAAGACTGGATCAGATGACACAGAGGTGGTGTCAGGACATGGAGCCGAATCTGGAAGGGGAGCGGGAGGCGGTGCCGGTACGAGTGTGTCAGGCCGAGGTCGACGAGAATACACATGTAAGACAGGAGGGGTAGGAACAGACGCCGTGACCGTATACATCAATATATCTTCCTCCTCCCCCTTACGAACAACCTCTGGAGGTGAAGGAAAGAAAGGGACGTCCTCATGAAAGGCAACATCAATGGAAACAAGAAACCTTCCAAGCTCAGGAGAGTAACACCTATACCCTTTTTGCACACGGGAATATCCAAGAAACACACACTTTAAAGACTTGGGATCTAACTTGGTGACATGGGGACGGACATCCCGAACGAAGCATACACAGCCAAATATACGCGGGTCAACATGGAACAAAGGTTTTGAAGGAAACAGAGTGTGGAAAGGTGTTTTCCCACCCAAGACCGCAGAGGGCATCCGATTGATCAAGAAACAGGCTGTGGAAACGGCATCAGCCCAAAACTGCTTGGGAACCCCCATTTGAAACATCAAGGCTCTTGCAGTTTCAAGCAGATGCCGATTTTTGCGCTCAGCGACCCCATTTTGAGAAGGTGTATCAACACAAGAGGACTGATGTAACATACCATTCTGACGCATATAAGAGACAAAAGGGAGCGAAAAATATTCTTTAGCATTGTCACTACGTAAAATTTTGACAGGAACATTAAATTGAGTCTTAATTTCAACGCAGAATCCACAAAACACCTCAAAAAGTTCAGAATGAGACTTCAGTAGGTATAACCATGTGATTCGAGAAAAATCATCAACAAACGTAACAAAATATTTAAAACCGAGTTTAGAGGTCACAGAACATGGACCCCAAATATCAGAATGCACTAACTCAAACGGAAAAGACGCTCGTTTGTAAACCCTAGGACTCAAAGGCACACGATGGTGCTTGGACAACTGACACGACTCACAATGTAAAGAAGACAAACTTGAAAACTGCGGACACAATTTCTTCAACAAGGGTAGGGAAGGATGCCCCAGACGACAATGAGCTTCTATTGGAGTGACAACACCCGAACAAGCAACCGGCTCCCGCTTCGTGGCGTCAAGAACGTAAAGGCCCCCAGACTCGCGCCCCTTACCAATAACCCTCTTCGTCAAAAGATCCTGAAACAGACAATAATCAGGGAAGAACGTAACAGAACAGTTTAAAGTACGGGTAAGTTGGCTGACCGAAATTAAGTTGAATGAAAAATTAGGTAGATGCAAGACAGAAGACAAGGGGAGCGAAGGGATGGGCGTAATGGAACCGGACCCAAGAACATGAGAGGCAGAACCATCTGCTAAGGTAACGGGGGGGGGAACTATGTGGGCGAGAAGAAAGCGTGGAAAACAAACTAGAGTTACCTGTCATATGATCCGTGGCACCCGAGTCTATGACCCACTTGGAGGAGGATGAGAGAAGGCACGTAGTTGCATTACCTGAGTCAGCAATAGCAGTGACTGAAGAGGATGAACGCTTTAAAGATTCTTGATACTGAGAGAACTTGGCAAACTCGTCGGCAGATACAGTGATCAACTTGGAAGATGCCTCAGGTGTGGATGCAGCATTAGCAGTCGGATTTCCTCGCTCCCTCAACCATCTCCTACAGTCCCGTTTTATGTGGCCAGGCTTATGGCAATAGTGACACACAATACCACCAGAAGTGTATCCCTGGGAATTTTTTCCATTCCCACTGCGAGGATGACGGCCAACGAGAGCATTGTTGGATGGGATGGTAGCCTCAGGCACACTTGGTTGCGATTGCACCGACCGACTCAGACGTGGAAAAACATTAGCAAGAGAAGGGATGGCAGAGCTACTAAGAATTGCAGACCTCGCCGTGTCAAACTCAGAAGGGAGACCTGCCAAAAAACTCAGAACAGCCAATTGTTCACGTTGGTTTTGCTGCTCTTTAATGTCAGCGGTGAATGGCATAAGCTGATTAAGTGCCTCATAAGTCTTCTTAAATTCCATAAAGTATGTAGGGAGAGACAAATCATGTTTTTCAGCACGGAAAAAGGACTTACAAACATCATAAACACGAGTAATATTCCCTTTCCCAGCGTATAAGTATTCCAAATACTCCATCAACTCTTTAACAGAGGCACAATGACTAATGAACCCAACAATACCCTCATCAATGGAATTACGAATTTGTAGGAACAAACGGGCATCATCCCGTACCCAAGTAGAATCTTGGTCAGCCAAAGGTTTAGACAAGTGGTCACTTTTATCCAAACTAGTAAGATAAAGCTTAATGACGTGAATCCATTCCAAGTAATTAGAGTCATTAAGCTTACAATCCGTGATTTTAGAATTAACAGGAACTATATCAGTGACAACCATAGACGTATTCCCAGCCATATCCACAAATTTAGGACCACAAACAGAGCAGAAAACACAAAAAAAACGGAGCCGAATGGTAACGAAACAACCTGACTGTAGAATCGAAAAGACCGACGCAAAACTGGTCCAAACTGAGCCCGGAACCGAGATCCCCGAACTCAGGCGACCCTGGAAAGACCGGCCGGAAAAATTTCCGGTCGCCGGAGAGCCCTCACGCGCCGGCGCGGCGGCGGCGGCGGCGGTTGTCGGTGGCGCGTGAGGGTCACGCGCAGGTCGTCTTGGCCTGAAAATTTCCAGGCAAGGTCGCCGGACGACGGCGAGTGGCGGTGGACCGGCGGTGAGAACAGGAGACGCCGGATTTTTTTTATTTTTTTTTATTGCCCTGGCTCTGGTACCATGTTAAAGCAGTGAGTTACCTCTGTAGCTCTCTCTTATTCTGTGTGTTTATAGAGCTAGTCAACTACTCCTTAAATATAAGAAGAGTCTGAACTGATATGGTAAGCAAATATTTAGATCCCTAAAATATGGGATAGTCAATCACAGAGAATATTCTCCCAATATTCTATAACAGTGCTAAATGAGTACTCTCTACATGGTTCTTTATATCAATATCATCCCTTGCTCAGGAGGGATGTATTTTGTTGATCTTTTTGTGGTCCAGATGTTCAGTAGTGCTTTATTCTTTCTCTATTCTGCAAATCATATACATCTGTATAAATTATACATGCTACAAGTTGATTTGGTTTAAAATTTTTTTATAGTTGGTTTTATTTAAAACTCAATTGAGTACATCTGCTTGTAATTATAACTCAACCACTGGTCTTTATTTCTTACATGTAGGTTTGTGCCTGAATCAGTGCTTAGAGAAGATGATGTAAGTGCTTTTGATTTTGTAATTATCATTGTCCAAAACTAATGTAGATTTAATACCAAGTGTCCAAGTTGGAATATTTTTATAAAATTAACGCATCTATATCTAACTGCGAGTTATATTTTCTAAAAAATTGAATAGTATTTCAATTACTCATCTGATATTTCCTGTATTTGGTTACAGTTAAGTTATGAGAACATCAGAACATTTGTTGAAAAGACACTTGGAGTACATAATGCTGAAAGAAACCATCATGTGACTGAAGATGATGAAATACAACTTTTGATTCACCTAAGAATTTGAAGTATATAATCTCCTTACTTGATGAAATGACCAATAAGGGGCTATTCTGTTTTGCTGAGATTGTGACGAATGGTTCTGTTAACTTCCTGAAAACAAAAAAGAAGATGAGAAAGATAATCAAAGAATTTCTTCCAAAACTACTTGAATGCCATGATGACCATTGCCAAATGAAATTGAAGCAACTGGCTCGACTCCTTATGGATCCTCAAAATTTTTGCCAGAATGAAATGGCTCTTTCAAATCCATCTCAATCCTTCCGTGTAGCTTGTATTGATGTTCTTGCTAGATTTGAGGAACTTCCATTCGTAGCACTTAGTGCAATGTACCGAAATCTCAGAGGGGTCAAGGGATACACTCCTAAGTTGCAAGGCAGAAGGTCTGGTTGGAGTCTTGGGAGATTAGCGAAACAAATAAGGAGAAAATCAATGGAAATGCTGCAAGAATTTTATGATGGAGATGAGCCACCAGAACCTTTGGCAAAAGCTTTGGCAGTTGCACACTTGATGCTAAAACCGAAATCAAGAACACTGTTACCAAATGTTTCTCCAGATATAGAGGTGCTACAGAGTGATATTGCGAAGGCTATTCAATTAGTCAAGGATAAAAGGAAAATAAGTTACTTAGAGCTGAAGAAGTTGTAGATTATGCTGGATCCAGGTACTGAACCATCAGAACAAAATTGTCGTGTGCGTGTGACAATGAAGAATTTGTTGACTGAATATCTTCTGGAGTGCATCAATATGGACACTATACCAAAGAGTTTGCTAGAAACTGTTAGAATTATCAACAGGACATCAGGGGTCAGCCCCAAAAACCCTCTCAACTGAGGAAATACAGGAAGATGTAAATTGTTTACTACATTTGAGTGCTCAGGCAAAGCAGATAGTCTGGGACTCTCTTCCAGAAAATGAATTTGACAAAGATTTTGCTGATGCATACATGGAGGATGTTGAAGAATGTGATGAATCTGGTTATGACAGTCATGACAATATTTGCAGTCATCCCCCTGATGATCTTGATTGCCAATCAGAAAGTGTTGGTGAGACCAGCACAGTTGATTCTAAATCACCAGTCTCTTCAAGTCTAGCTGAAAACGTGACTCCACTTTTTTCACCAAATAAAAAGTTAAGTATCAAACTTGAATCAATGAACATTACTGAAAAGAACTCACTAGAGTCTTGTGCATTTCTTCGTTCTTCAAAAATTTTTGACGACACTAGCAGTATAGATGAAAATGGGGATCAAGCAGGAAGTACAGGCCAACAAAGGCAAACTTGTTCTTATATTGATAAAGATGGATTTTCCTCAATATCCTCTGCTAATGGACTATCAGGGAGGCTTCATGATGGACTGAAAGAACCAAAAACAGAGTTGGGATACAAGCCAAAATTTGCATCTTCTAACTTTTTACAGGCAGATACCACAGTAGTAAATGATAAAAGCAATTTTGAGAATAAGTACCTCATTATCCAAGAAGCTTGTGATGAAACAAGTATGTTTGCTTATTCATTTGTTGATCAAGTGTTGAATGAGTTGGCAAGGTTAGACAGGTTAGAGATGCCTAAGGATCACATGTCAAATCTCCAAGCTGATGCATTGGGCCTCAAAAATTCCAAAGGTAGAAATAATTCTCTGCTTTCCAGTTTATGGTAGGGTAAATTAGTTGAAATAAGTCTCTGATTTCCAGTTTCCAAGTGCTAAGGATGCAACTTGATGGTTCCCCATGAGCATATACATAAGACACTTTTCCCAAAATGTAAAAACAAAAAAAAAAAATGCTGAATTCAACCTTCTTCTGCACGAACCTTTCTGTTTGTTATTTTCTGTAGTGTACTCATGTTCCTGGACCAGCCAATGATTTACCTATACCCTGCTTCAAATTTGTTTTTACCTCTTTGCCTATATATAATTTTCTTTTATTAACCAGAGTACAAGTGGTTACAAATTTTTTCATGTCCAGGTCCAACAAGGAGGCAGACTTTTGGCGAAGATGGTGTAGGGTCAGTTATGATCAATGTACTTGAAGTTCTAATGCCTTCATTTCCTAGCAGGTACCTTTTGTGCTAGTTCAGTAGTCTCCACCTCCTTTTTAAAATCTTTTACTTCAAACTTGTATTTTGTGTGAGTGGGGTTGAGGGATCATGAAAACTTGGAGATTGTAAAACAAGCAATTGATTTTCATTTAATATGTATAACTTTCTAGTTACCTAATGAAGTGTTTATTATTGTCTTAAACAACAAAACAAATTCATTGAATGTTACTTGATTATTACATGTTTTAGGGTTTTGTTGCTTCTGTGGAATTCTTTCCACTTAGGTTTGTGATTATAAATTTGACAGGATTTTGGCATATGTAGCATATCACACACACACATTCTATTGATTTGTCATAGGCTAAGATTGTGTTTTTCTTCTTTATACAGAGAGAAAGAGGAACTGAAAGTGCTGATGGGCATATAGAGACGAATTAGAAGCATAGTTATTGTGGAAGTTGGTAAACATCAGAAACCCTTCAACAGGCTATCTTTGACATGATACATTAAAGTTAAATCTGGGTTGGAGTGTTGGTTGGTGTTAACCAAAGCAATCCAGGGAAAATTCTTGCATAGAGCCTGGCTCTGAGCACTGGAATCACCTAAAGCTTCTGGGAGTTTTCTGTTTTATATTTGGTGAAAGTGCTTCAGGCTTCGGCAGATAAACATAGAAGCAAGAGGTAAGTTGTGTGGGGTTTGTTTGTAATATGTAATAGGTCCATGAATAATAATTTTATTTCTCCATGCATCATTCCTGATGGACCTAACTGCTTTGGCCATTCTGCAGAACCACTGAAGCAGTGGGGGACTAATCAACATTTCCTGGGTGACCATGCTTGATACTCAGGATAGAAATGCTGTTGGTACCTTATTTGAAGAGAAGAACCAGCCAAACTCCCTACTGCTCAAAACAATTCTGCTACTTGGGGACTGCAATGTAGTCTGCTATTAGAAATATGGTCAGAGGACGATGCATGATAACATCTGGTGTTAGCTGGCTACTTATCAAAAGTGGGGATGGCAGTCTAGATTGCTAAGTAGTTGCTAGCGGTTAAGTGGCAACCTAACCTGGCCTCAACGGTAGCCAGTAAAGGTTTCTCAAATCCGGTTTCAGTTGGCTATTTACTCAAACGGTCTCTTCTTTTTGGACAATGCTAGCCTCTCGTTTGTTTCAACAGGTTTGTCCATGTAAGTTGTTCTTGGGTATTCAATAATTTTTTTTTTTTTTTTTTTACCTTTACCCCCAAATATATCAAATAACTTGGTAACAAATCCAAACCGTTGATATGCAAGATCTAATGGATGCGAAATCAAGTAAAATTTTGTTTATTTTTAACTGTTAGATCTACTAAATCAATGGTTTAAATTTGTCCACAGGTTTGGGGCATGCCCATGATGTTTTTTGTCCCTTATCCCCAATTATTTTCAAGTGCATTGAAGAATTTATAAGTACTAGTATTTTCACCCGTGCGATGCACGAAATTGATTTGTTATAATATATTAAGAATATTTGGATCGATTAAAATTATTTAGATTATAACATCAAATACAGAGTGTTATATAGTGCAATTGAAGATATGGTTTGAATCGTTTATGTTTGTTAATGTTATCATTGCTTGAATTCTAGCAAGTAATTGCTCAAATTAATAGTTAATATATATATGTATGCATGCGGTGCTATAACTTTAGAGATTTTTATATATCATTGTTTATGATTTTTATACATTGGGCAAATGTGCTCGTTCTCTAGCAACTTAGTTATAGTAATTAATTGCTATCCTAATTCATTAGTATAAAGGATATATTTTTGTCTAGATATATAGCAATTTTGTCGTTTTGAAAAAAAAACATCATATCATTGATTTTATTTACACATTATTGAAAACCTCTTTGTAGACGATATTGGTAGTTGCAACACAATCTTGTCCATCCTTGTCGACATTGGCTTTTGTTGATAGTCATGGCATATGCAAGCATCAACGAGAATTGTTCACACTGGAACTTGAAGGGCAATTTCGTATCAAAAGGAGTGAGAGACATTCGGGGGATAAGAACTTTGGTTCCTTCATGTGTCTAACTATTCTTGCTTCGACAATGTGATTTACCCATCTTGTGATAATGAGTCACGTCCTGTTAGAAAGACCAAGAGAGTGGTCTATGTTCTGCAATAACCTAATAGGTGCACTAACCTTTAATGTCAATGAATGATTATGAAGACCCGACAATTTCAAACTATTTAAGAATTTAGGAGTGTGTACTTCTAATAGATTTTCACTGTCTGATTCTGCCTTACACAAAGAGTTAGAACTTAAATATATTTGTCCTTTTATAATATTCATGTTGCACATGTACTGATTAATTTGATCAACGACATCTAAAGTCGGGGAGATGATCGCTCGGCCTTTTATCCGTGACTCTCAAGCATGCCATATCTCGAGCTTGGGAATATGTTTTCCACTATAGTTGCTATGGGGTTGTGTCCACACTTCAACAAAAACTGTGCTGGAATATTGATCTCAAATGAACCGCGGTTTACAAACCTTGCAATCTCATCTATGATGTCTGCAATCCATTTTTTAATATTTGTTGGTCTCGATAGGGTGGTGAAAGTCTAGAGAGGGGGGGGGGGGTGAATAGACTTTCAAGCTTTTTCGAAATAAATAACTATTTGGTAACTTCAACTCTAAGTAACAAGAAAATAGAGTAAGTTTGAACTGCACAGCGGAATAATAGGTGTAAAGAGTTATGTCCAACCAATAATTTAAATGTGCATGTAAGATGGGTACAGATGATATGTAAAATGACAGAGATATCTTGAATATATAAAGGAGATGGTTCACTCAATATGTAACAATAATATTCAAGACTATAAATAAATATCGTGTCACATTGACCGTGTAACGAACGTTACATGCAACACGTCAAACTTGCTTAGAATAATTCAATATTTAAGCTCGAGAAGTTTGAATCACATGCATACGTGAGAACACACTAAACCCGAAAGATTAAGATTAACTGTGAATAGTAAACGGGTTAGTCGGATAAGATAGATAAATAGAGCAGATTATGTAAGTGCAGTATGTAAATGAGAGAGGTAATTTATAGTGGTTCGGAAGTGGCGTAATCTTCCTAGTCCACTTTACTCCATTCACTTCTAGGAGTAATTCACTATTTTCCACACACAGTTACAATAGTGAATAAGCGTTACACATGCACTTCTTCCGGATGTCTTGCACACAGCTACACCCAACTCTGAGTGTCTCGCACACAGCTATACTCAACTCCGAGTATTTCGCACACAGCTATACTCAACGCCAACTAAGTGTCTTGCACACAGCTACACTTAGCAACTACGGGTGTTTTGCACACAGCTACACTCACAAGAGTATTTTGCACACAGCTATACTCTTCTAACAATTACAAATACAAAGGTAATTGTATCCCTCTCCAACTAGTTTTGAGGCTATTCAGACAAAGTCTCTAAGAATATTTGAGCACTTGCACTTCTTATCTCGTGTGTATTCACTTGTTCGTATTTTTGTATTCACCTCTATCTGTCTTCAAGTCTTCATGGCTTTTTATAGGCAATCAAATATATCCGTTGGAGTGGGATAATTTGATATTTGAAATTTGAATCTTCATAGCCTGATATTGTTGACAAAAGTAGATCTTCAATTTTGATTTGATTGTCAACTTGCCTGACAAAATAATATTTTATCTCAACTTGATTTTCAAGTTGTTTCTTAAAATATTATTTTTGTTGTCAATTTGAATTTCCAACGAATCTTTGAAATAAATTCTTCTGATAGAATTTATTTCTAGGATAAGTTTTTATATTCATGTCTTCACAAATATTTTTCCGTTCTGATCAAATATCTTCAGGCAATTTTGGATTCTTGTGGCATGTGGGCTGATCCAAAATAAATTCCTTCGAATTTATTCATTTTCTGATTTTCTGAACATCTTGCTTCTTTGCCACATTGTGCTCCTTTGACTTTAACATTGTGCTTCTCTGATTTGGTCACGTTGTGTTCCTTCAGACATTGTGCTCTTGTGCTCTTTTGAGAACATTGTGCTTGTTCGCATCGTGCTCCTTTAAAAACATTGTGCTTGTCCGAATTCTTGACTTGTAAAAATAAATCCTTGGGGGGAATTGATCTCGAGTATGATCGTTTTAAGTAAGAACTTCTGCCATTTCACCATTAGGCTCATCCGATCATTTCTTGCAACGCCATTCCTTTATACTTCTTTCTCGGATGAATACTCGTAGGACCAAAATTAATTTTCCAAATTAATTTCGTTCTTCATATGGTAGATTCCCATTGACTCGATATTCTGATTTATGATGCTTGTACTAAAAGACCTAAAGCTAAGGGGATCTAAAGTACATTTGGCTCATCAAAACTTACAAAAATATTCCTATCAATTTTCCCCCTTTTTGATGACGCCAAAACCTATACTCAGTCATTTGACTTGTCTTTTAAAAATAATTATTCTTCAAAAGATTTTATTAATTTTTGACATAGCCATGGCGAGTTTAACATTTGATTTTGACTCTAGGAAAGGTATTTTTAGCAACTAAGTTCCTATTCGCATTTTTGGATTTTAATGATAACGAATTTTGTAATTTTTCCAATTTATGCGATTTGATACAATCTAAGCTAAAAATATTACCTTTCAAGACAAAAGAAAAAAAAATGACAATAGATAAAAAAGAAAAACTTAATAGCATCATAAACAGATAATTCGAATCATTTGCAAATTGTTCCATGATCATGAGTTCGTAGACCAATCAAAAAACATTGTGGCAATAATCATACAAATCACTTGATGATTCTGTTTCTCCTTTCTTCTAGCACATGATTAATATGATTTTGAACTTCAATGAAATTGTCACAAATGGCATAATTGTTGCATACCTGCCCAATCACATAATAGTTGAATGCTTCAATGATGTTGTCCCCGGGCAGTATTCATTCTTCATACCATATGATGCACTCTTCTAGATTTCTATAACCTTGAAGCTCGGCATCATTGACTTTGATATAGTCTTTAAGAACCATGATCATCAAAGCTCTAGCATAGCTTTTGATCCTCCTGAAGTTTTCATTTGAAACCCACAAGTTTTGGTCACTTGGACCACTTTTCTTCATTCCCTTTGGTAGGTCATTCAAGGTTGCCAATCTTGGCATTTCAACTCTACCATCTCTTGGTGTGGATTCCAAATAGAGAGCTGCTTTGTTGTACCAATTTATTTGCTCAACATTTCCACCTGCACAAACAATGTCACGAAATGATCGGTTAGTGGTATTTGCACTGCTTGATCCTCCTGGACTACCAGCATCACCACCGAACCAGTATTCCATTCCTCCTCTTCTTGCCATATTTCTTCTGCCAGCAGATCCGCCTCCTCCTCTACTACTGTTTGTACCAACATTTCTGGTAGCCATGGAAGTCATAATCATTTCCAGCATGCCTTCCAAATGACTGAATCTCTCTTCTCCCTTTTTGGCGTAATCAATGAGTGTATATACTGACTCACGAAGAGATGAAACAGATTCGGATATGTTCTCATATGAACCTCGAAGGCAGCCTACTTTGGTGTTGATGGAGATGAGATCTGTGTGGGCATCACCAATCTACTTCTCATGTTGATGGACCACATTAAGAATTCCTTGACTTTGATTCACGGCAATTGCTTCATTGGCTTTACCAGCATTTTTGAGGATTTGAGATAGTTGAATGTAGAACTCATTGAGTTGCCCTTTGACATTTGTATTCAATCCGCCAACTTGTCTCTTAAGTGCTTGATGTGTGTCAATCAAGTGCTGTTGACTCCTTCGGTTTTCATCAAATGAAGTTTCGAATGTTCCTCCTTGAGTATTGACAACATGATCCACATGAGTGTAGATACCTTGAATCATACTCTCCATTCGGTCAACTAGGCTTAGTACAACATTTTCCAGATTTTTCAGTCTTTCATTTGAGGTTGTGCCATCAAGGGTTTGCTCTTCTTGGGTTGCGGGAATACACCTTGCTCCTTCTTGAGCAGAATTATCCCCAAGCATGTGAGATTGTGCTTGTCTAGTAAATTCCCTTCTCTTTCTGGCGTGTGTAACACGTGTGTGTCACCTTGCATACTTTCTGCATGAATTGATTGAATTTCCTCCGTATGGTGGCTGACTTGCATGACATGATGTTCTTGGCTAATTTCTGTTTGATTCAACACACTAACGTCATATAGACCACTGTCCATCAAATGTACACCATGTGTGACATTTTCTTCTTCTTCGTTTCTTGTAACCTCAATAGGTTGAACAAACTCATCAATGTCAACTAAAAAATCATCTTTAGTTGGCATGTTTCCTTGGACTGTGTTATCATGAAAAGTCTCGGCCAATTTGTCTTTCAGTTTGCTCACAAATGCTCCATTTACGGTAGAAATCAATGTTGCATGGCCAA